TAATTATATCAACTTTCTGGCAAAAAACAATGTTTCTGACCTTTTTGCTCTAAACAACTATGTTCAGTTGCTTATTGTTCACATTTGCAACTTAACAAAGTTTCTTTAATAGGCTAAAAGATTGTTGGTTAATCTAACAAATTCACCGTTGATAATTTAAAATTTCACTTGCTGTGAAACAACTGCACATTTTTTTCACACATTTTTTTCGCTTTTTTCGCTGTTCAGTAGAAACAGTTATCTAAATGCAATTATTCGATCAGACACCTAATTTGCTGCCATAGGTGTACCTGATTTTTCCATATTTTTCAATTATTTAGGAGGAGTTCAACGAGAAAAATCTTCTTTCAACGTAATGTTATTTATCTTGTCATTGCCACTTATCAGTGAACCTAACTAACAGTAATATTGCCTTAAAAAGACAGACACGTTGAAATGCCAAATCAGCTGCATAGAATGCATACGTTTAAATCACTTAAAAACTACTAAACAACATTTTCTCTTTTGTCTCTTTTGGCAGATAAGTTATACTTGAAAAAAAAATAAAGTATTAAATTTTTTTGTTTTTATCAAATATTTATTGCTATGGTAAAACAGTGAGATATAAATTGAGAAAAAAAGATAACAGAAAGTTCAACTATCTTCCTTGTTACAGTTCTTTAAACTTCTATTAAGTTTGTCTTACCTGCTCATGCTGCTAACTGCTTTTTTCTATTTTTGAAGTAAAAAAGAAGATAATTACAAAAAAGAGCACTGTACCCTGCAAATGTACATTTTTATTTTTGCTGTATTTTATCTGGTAAAATGCAGCTCGTCTTTGTTAAATCTAATTTCATTATCGTCATTTAACATTTCTGCACATTTTCAATTCAAAACTGCCATCAAAATTTAGAAAATTTTAATTTTTTCATTTACAACCCACTCTGAAACCTTGTAACAGCAAAATAGTGATTAGCAGATCCACTTTAATTACTCTGCGCAATATACCAATGAGAAACGAATTAGTAAAATTTTGCAATGTAAGCTGCCGTTACTGTTTCCATTTGACGTCGTAGTTTAAAAAGAAAAGAAACGGAAAAAGAGTCTGCCAAACCTTATTGTTATTTCATAAATGTGATGATAATTTAACAAAAAAATCTCCAGTAAATTTGCGGCAAAACTTTATTCACAAATTCTTAGGAATCGTTTCAAATTACTGACAAGTAATAAATTCAACTTAAGTCTGAAAACGAAGAATTTTTGAAGTACAATTCTATGACATCATAACTGTAAATTTTTGACAAAAACACTAATAGGCTAATTCTTAAGAATAAGAAATATCCCTCAAAAATTTTATGAAAGATTTGTAGAAATTTTCATTTAAGCAAAAAAAAGAGCAAGTCTTTTGTTGAGCCTGCTTTATTTCAACCTATTTTTAGCGATCTCATTGTCTGCTTTTTCCAAAAAGTTGTTGTTGCCAGAAAATAAGCAGAAAGTGAGGGCGTACATCTAAAGGTCCGGTGACTGCAAAAAAAACTTTCTGAGCAGCAAGAAATTTTTGGTAATTTTTTTTTTACTATAGGTTTATCAATGCCTGATCTCGTTTTTATATAGTCAAATTCTCGTTTTAATTAAGTTCTGTAAATATTAGAATAGAGTTCTAGCTTAACGACACTTTTTCTTCTAGACAACTGCTTTTAACTTTTTTAGATTATATAAGCGACTCGTACACCCAAAACATTAGTTTTGCACATATGCCTTAAAATAGCTAGATTTGTGTTTATAAAAGATAAATTTTGATGCTCTTTCAAGCAAATTCTGCTGCTTTCTGCTGGCGACAAACATTAATTTTTTTACCCCAAATCTTTTATTACAATTTTTTGGCCTACTTGCGTTTTAATGACAATACACTAAAGTCTATTTACTCAATTGCTTCTAACAAGATTGAAAGCTATAATTCTATAACAAACAAGAACAGCTAATAACTCTAATTTATAAAATTTTTTGAAGAAGAAACAATGAATTCAATCCGATAGAACTTGAACTGCAAGTTTGTCTACAAACAGTTGGCAATATAACACCATCAGTTTTGTTATGCTAGGTTATATTTCACTTTTTAAATTATTCTTGAAATTATTCCATTCCGTAGGTTAAACAAGTTTTATGCAGCAGACTAAACTGCACAGATTCCGCAAAAAAAAAAAAAACATCTACTTTTTTTCCGCTCTCGGTTCTACAGTTTTTCTAAGATCGCTACCTGTTAATTTATAGGGTAATTCTTTGTAAAAATTTCTTCTTTTCTTTCAAGTAAGAAAATTTCTTTAAAACAAAAAATTTTATTGTCATCCTGCCACATCACCTTACCTAGCAGAATTAATTATGAAAAAGAAAGATAAATGTCACTTAACTTTTCCTCTAAGGAGCAAAAGAATCTAAAAAAAGCAGTTAAAACAGCAGCTTAATAATTATAGTTGCTTCTTTGCCTACCAGTACCCTAAAATTTTCTATATTTTTTACATTTATCTCAGAAAATCAGAGCCAGTTTCAACGTTTTACTGAGACGTAACACTACAACAAATGCAGAATAAAACTAGTCAAATTCAGGCGCTAAATGGCGTACAGTTATGAGAAGGGTAGAAGAAACTATTTGGTAGACGACCAGGACGACTACTCGTCAACGTCATCGGAAGGGATCAACTACTGGAGACGTCTGAAAGATCAGCACTGCAAAAAATGGACAGTGCATTTATTTTTCGCAATTATAGCTGTCATTATTATTGCACTGATAGCGGCAATTGTCGGTGCCGTTGCGCAACATAAGAGCGATGGTTAAATTTTTTAGACCTCTGCTTATTCATTAGATCAGTTACATAAGAAAACATTTATTATTTTAATACAAGTTGGACTTCAATGATGCAAAAAGATGTATTTAAAAGTTCTTAAATACAAACGAAAATTTGAAAAACTAATAACGTTCAACATTAAAGTTGAACTGACGACTTTTTTAAGAAGAATTTCTTGTATTACACACCGCCTATATTAGAGTTTAATTCAGCAAACTCGTTGGAAAGCTACATAATCAAGTTACAAAAAGTCTTTAACTTTCCCATAAACATTGGTAGAAAATCACTTTCTACATTACGTCAACTTTGTATCAACTTCCCAAACAGGATTTGTATTTTAAGCAGCTTTTTTCTCCCGTTAACGAGAATAAAAAGAAGCAGTTTTGAAACAGTTAACATATCTATAATATCCGTTCACTCTAGGATTAAACTATTAATATGTATAAAAATAATAACAGTATTTACAGATACCGATAACACACCAACGTCCACAACAATTACGACACCACATGCAACAAGTAAGAAGTATAAACAGAAAACCATTAAAAATTAGAAGAGTAACATTGGTCAAAAAGAAAGTTAGCAAATTTTTTCAAACTGCATTAATGTCAACAGTCTGAAATCAAATCAATAAGCGTATCAGGTACAGCGCAGCTATTTGCAAACTCAAAGTCTTCAAAAAGTATAATAAAATTAATGCAGAAAAAAATACAGTTAAAAAAATAAAACCACATTTTCTAGTTAAACACTGGTTCGGATTCTTTTTAGATTAACACCTCAAAACAATGCTGTTGGGTGGAAACGACAATGTCACTGATGAAACCCTTCTATACATTTTTAGACTTTCAATTCTTTTTTTACATTAGGAAAAGATGTCGACATAAAAATTATCTTTTCGCATTGGTATCAAAAACTATTTTTGTGCCATTTGCTTCATTTTATAAGAATTCTTTTACCATCGCCGTCAGTTAATTGCGCTAGTTTAAATCACCTTTTAATTCACCAGAAACAGTTTTCATTTCAAGACAACTGGAGAAGTAATACCCCTGAAACCGAATC